CTTCATATCATCTTTTCTTTGTTCTTGTTGCAGATATGTGAATCGGACAAAAACATCCTTTTAAATCATGGGGATCCTCTTTCTAAAGAATGTCTACATTCTATGATACAGAAGAAAGGGCTAGATGACAAAGTATAACACTTCAGATATGGCTGTCAAAATCAAACAGCTAAACAGAGAGTAAACATTAAACTAAACAGAGACTGTCCACCATCATGGACTGCTCAATCTTTTGAATGTGCTGTCTTTAATAAGAAATGGAAGAAGGATGTCATCACTTCTGGGAAATGGATAGATGCCGTCACGCTGAAAAAGGAGTCCGATCGGGCCTTCTTGTGCTCTGGATGTTGTAGGGTTGCGTTTTGCGGACGTGACTCTGCAATATCGCGCTGACATCGGGGCAGTTTCTCTGGATTGGCAGAGTGTGATGGTGGTCCCCCTAGTCAAAAGGGGGGACCGTAGAGTGTGTTCCAATTACAGGGGAATCACACTCTTAAGCCTCTCTGGGAACGTCTATTTGGTGGTTCTGGAGAAGAGGGTCCGTTGGATAGTTGGACCTTGGATTCAGGAGGAGCAGTGTGGTTTTCGTCCTTCACATAGAACGCTGGACCAACTCTATACCCTCAGTGGGGTCCTGGAGGGTGCACGGAAGTTAGCCCAACCAGTCCACATGTGTTTTGTGGACTTGGAGAAGGCGTTCGACCCTCTGGGAATCCTGTAGGGGGTGCTCGGGGATTATGGGGTACCAGGCCCTTTGTTATGGGCTGTTAGGTCCCTGTACGACCGGGGTCAGAGCTTGGTTCACATCGGCGATAGTAAGTCGAACCCGTTTCCGGTAAGAGTTGGACTCCGCCGAGGTTGCCCTTTGTCTCCGGCTCTGGTCATAACTTTTATGGACAGAATATATATAGCCGCAGCCAAGGTGTTGAAGGTGTCCGTCTTGGTGGCCTAAGGATTGCATCTCTGCTTTTCGCAGATGATGTGGTCCTATTGGCTTCATCAAGTCGTGACCTACAGCTCTCGCTGGAGCGGTTCACAACGGCCGGGATGAGGATCAGGGCCCTCAATTCCGGGACCATGGTCTCTCACCGGAAAAGGGTAGAATGCCTCCTTCGGCGTTCTATGGCATTCTTCTATCTGACTCCGGATAAGCAGTGAAAACAGTTATAGCATCAATAACTGATGGAAAAATCTGTGTTGAGACCCTCTGATTTGCACATGATACGTATTTCTATATAAAGTTGTGTGAAAATGTGTAGAAGCATAGATTTCTTTGTGCACACAGCTCTGCTCATACATAAATGATAAATTACTTAAAATGTTATTCTGCTCATACATAAATGATAAATTACTTAAAATGTTATTAAGGGAAACTTTCTCACTTCTTGGATTAGGCTCTGAAACAAGAATGTAACAACAGAGGCTTCACTTCCTGTTTACCTGCCTGCTTTATTTGTCAGACAATAGTCATTGGTTGTATGTGACTGATATTAATGTCAGAACATGATGTTCTTCAAGTCCACCACAGGTTTTTTCGGTAAGCTACCAAATGTGGCCGTGCTTATTGTCATCTGTGGATTGTTCACAAAGGCCAATTAAATTATCATCTATATTCGAGAATGTTAATTTGACTTTCCAGATTAAAACTTCCAAAAATTGGACATGTGGGATATGTTTATTTAACATAAAAATAAATGAATAGGTCAGCCATGGTGGGCATAAAGATGTTCCAGTCATTACATATTAATAAATTAATTTATTTATTTCAGTTATTTCATATAAGGTAACACTTTTAACTTACAGCCAAAAAACAAAATAGGCTGATTTGTACACATCCTCTCTTAAAATAGAAAAGAAAAAAATACTTTTAACTTCTGTGTCGTAAATAGAGTCTAGAAAAAAAATATGCATGTGTTATTTTAAATGCATCACTTTGAGAGGACATTAACATATTGTGTTGTGTTATGTGGCAACTCATCAAGAGGAAGTTCACAAAGGAAGTAACTCAGAATAAGTTAAAGGCACAAGTGTATGCCGTTATTTCTTAATATACTCTGTGGTAAACATTACACATCCACTGATTGTGGGTCAAAACAGTTTTGAATAGAACCAGAAATATTTATCACAGAGTAGCTTTTTAATAGATTTGTAGGGGAAAATTCCACTTAATAAACACAAAAAGTAAAGAAAATGTTAAAAAAAAACTGTTCATTCCTCTTGAATACTGTGACATGTTATCCACCAATCCATTTTCTATACCACGCAACGGGCAAGAGACAGGGTACACCCTGGACAGTTCGCCAGAGGTTACATGTTATATTTTGTCGAACACAAGCAGTGGAACACACAAGAGAGTAAATTCAAAAAGAAATATCCCCCGTCCTTCTGCTTCTTGCCCCTAAGTTTTGTTTTGTTTTTCGTGATGAAGATGAAGATGTACTCATCTCTTTGAGGCAGTCAGACACATTAAATTGTCTAAAGTTACAGAAAATGAGAACAATCGGTGAGTGTTGGCTGCTGGGGATAAAAGACACAGTGGAAACAGGAGTAAGAGCAAATAACCAGACTGGGAAAAAACTGAGAACAGCACCATGTTTTACCCACAGTGGTCTGTTACATTGATAAGTGCAGAGGTGTTAAACTCCAGTCCTCGAGGGCAACAAACAAAATCAGCCATTTTCCAAACGTCAGACTTTAAATGTATATTTTATACTTACATCATTGAAATGTGAAGTTGTATAACAGGAACAAAAACAGCAGACTTTAACGTTCTAGGCTTGAGACCAAACTAATTGTTTATTTATTTATTTATATAGAAGTCCATTTCAGCTCACATCAGTTTACAGAGATACACAGACTCCCTCAGATTTTAATATCTGAATATACACTTTCTTCCGTTTTCAGCTCTTTCTTCCTTCCTCTTGTATATTTTGCTCCAGAAAAATGCAGAGCAGCGTAGTTCAGATCATTTTCACCTTCGCACTATACAAAAAACTCATATTTATATCACTTTAATGTTGATTCATGTGTTTTATGTCTTATTAAGTTTAATTACTTACAAAACCATCTTGCGGTTGGCGCGAGTTTTCATGTCCTCCTTTTGAGGAATTGATGTTGATCCCTAATAATAAAAATTAGAAGTCACTTCATGAAATAATGAATTCATTTAGGGTTTTCAGAGAATATTTAACAATCAAAACATGTTTTACTAAAAATACATTTTAAGGTGGTCAGAAACAAATTAATCATTTAAAAAGAAAGATGAAACAGTGACATGTGGAATCAACAAGTGTTGATAAATGTAGGATTTACTTGAGTATTTTTAATCAATAAAGCCAGTGAACAGTACTTACCTTCAGATTTTACACATGCAGCTTTTGGTGTTTTGTAACAAATGAAGAAAATGTTTGTCATCACAGAAATGCAAAAGCACAGTGATATGGTCGCCAGCCATTTAAACTGTATTTTCTCTAGAAACCAAAAGAGAAAAAAAAGAAATGTCATTGCTTTTACAGAAGAAAATGCGTCATGAAATAGTTTCCATTTTCATGAACAAATAAAATCAACGGTATAATTGAAAGCAATATAGATTATCATATTTAACCAATGTTATCATGTATTATAAACTAAGTCATACCAGGGTCCGCTTTGGTTCCATCTCCAAATAATATCTCTCCACATGTGGCCACAGCACAGTAGTAAGTCCCAACTTCAGAGGAGCTGATGTTCTTAGAGAAGTGATGCACACATCTCCTCTGAGTGTCAGCTTTCTGGTTACATTTAGCAGCTCTGTTTCCATCAGAGTAGATGATGTGTGGATGAGATTCATCTGATGCAGCTCTGAACCAGAACACACTCAGATCTTCTGAACACGTCTGGTTCTGAGAGACAGAGAGGACTGAACACTGCAGGGTCTTTGAGTTTCCCGAACCTATTGGATCCATTTCTCCTGAATGCTGGACAACTGTGTAGTTTGTGGTTCTCTGGGTATTTCCTGCATAAATAAATTAAGATATGAAAATAAAAGGTATGCAGAGAAACTGAAAACTGGAACGTTGTGTGAGGTCCACTGACTATTTCCTGATTGGTATGGGACACAATAAAAAGTGTCCCTAGTCAATTTGAACACATTTGTAAAAGATGATGAATAAAGATGAATAAAGAATACACTCAATTTCCACAGAATTTTTTTTTAACATCATATATATATGTAAAGTTACGAACAGTTATATCCTAAAATACTTAAAAACCTTGAACAAACTGACATAAATACCTTTCAGAGACAAATAAGTCCCACTCCAGGTAACAGCAGTATATTCAATGACGGCACAGTGATACATTCCCTCATCTTCTGTACTTGTCCTCAAAATGGTCAGAGTGCTATTCCTCTCATTGAATGCTGCCTTCACTTTTGAGGGAGAAAACCCGGCTCCATATACGGGATTTACATTTTTCCACAGCGTCACAATTGATTTGAGAGTGGCCCCTGCACTCTGCTTTGACCAGTGGACTTTTTGAATGCTAAACGTATCATCAGGGAGAGTGCACGCCACTGTCACATCGGCCCCGGCTTGTACCGAGATCACTGGAACGAGTGAATCTGCAGAAAAGAGACAGAAACGATTAGTGAAATTGACGGAACAAATTAGAAACATTTCAAGTTAGGAATGAACCATTACAGATCACGCTGACATGTCTTTTTTTTAACACTCTTTTCAACACTTACAGGCGTGATGGAGTAGAAGCAGTGCAAGCCATAACAGAATCATCTTTACTCTGTCTTCTTTGGAAGACCAGCGTCTGAAGTGACAGAGGGAGGTGTGGTTTTCCTCAGCATCAAATTAACCTGATTGGTTATCTTAGAATATACTATCAAAGGGCATTTCCTGTCACAAAAAAACTTTCATGCTTTGTAAATTGTTTAGTACCTAATTTCCAAACAATTTTATTTAGTCAGCCTGCATTAAATAAGACAAACAATGTCTCAAATATGCATACAGAATAAACACTTTATAGTTGTCCAATTTCTGGCCTTCTAGTGTCCCTCTCTTTCAAGCTCTTGCCTGGGAGTGTAAGGGTTGTGCGCATATCTCCGCTGTTCCTAGTGTTGCTCTAATTTTGGCAGAATGTTTTCTTCCTAGAATCAGCTGGAGCCACTCTCTCAGTTTGGGGTTTGTGGTCCAGAGTGTCCTGATCACCATCAATACCTCTGCTGCTTCCAATTCCTGCATCTTTTAAACTTTCTCCTTTAGTTTTGGATCATTTACAAATTTGTTGCGTTCCCTTTTTCTTGACATTGTACCACTTTGGTGTTCCTGCTTCTATTCTTTTTCTATGGTTAGTCAACTATATCTTGGTTAACCAGCTCCTACTTATCAGCCTGGATCTGTACATCAAAAAATATCTCAGCTCTGTCATGTATGACCTGTGGAGGTAGAACAGCCTTTTTTCCTTATTAACATGATTTCTCAATGGGATTCTTGTTCAGCCTGCATCCTCCCAGTTCCTCGTCATTCCGAGATGGTTCCTCCTCTTCCTCATCCCTTCCCCTGGGTTTCAGCAGCCTGACACATTCACCAGCACTTCATCAATGTATAATATCTTCCTGACATACTCCTAACTATCCTGTTTCACCAGCACATTGAAAGGAAGTGCATCGTCACAACGTTGTTGTGACTAATTTTGATAAAGAGTACAGGACATTGTGCTGTGCTCATTGTTTTAAAGTCATACTTTTCTGCAGTTTGAGGTTTTTCATAAATAATAGTTTGTGAATTGAACAATTCCAAAAATAGACACAAGTTTAACATTTCAAGGACTGATTGAACAACTCCAGCAGTTGATCAAACTAAAGTTACAGTGCTTGACCCTCAGGTTTTTGCTCATCAAATATTCAATTTATTTTCAGCACCGTTCAGACTTAACAGCTTCTATAGTTGGTAAAAGGGCGGAAAAATGGCCCACCACAGCTTTGGTCTGTGGGTGTTGCTGTTAGAAATGGCTTGGCTTTTTTTTTTCTCTGCAGAAACACAGAGAGCGCTCACAAAACAGCAACCATCACAGAACACATGTGTTCAAGAGTATCTATGTGATTACCAAGACGTAACCTAGGAACATCTTTTTAAATCGATTTGACTGGGTCAACTGTTAATGTTAACATGTTCAAAGATTTATGAATTGTCTTTGTATTTGAAGAGTCTGGAAAAAAGAGGGAACTTAATGAGTTTATTTGGTAAAAGTTGAAGATTTATAGATTTGATTTCCATCTCTCAGTGTAACTACCAGAGCTTCATAGCTTTTTAAAAACATTTGTATACCATAACCTACATTTGCCATAGAACCCCTTTGATATAACACATCCCAACATTGTGCGGTCCACAAAGTTGTCAATCACAACCCATCTGTGTGTTGTGTTGATGAGTTGGGATCCAGAGATATACTATGAGGGAGGCCTGAAAGCTGAACCATGACTGATTTTAAGTATAAGGATGGTTACATGGATTAATATATCATTAACCAGTGAAATGAAAATGAGTTCATTGTAAATATCTACTCATAAAACATCGGGACATGGGACTATTTCTCTACCTGTATAGTAAATCCAATCATTGTAAATGTTTAGCCTCTCGAGAGGCTTCTAACTTTAAAGGAGTAGATTTATTGACATCAAAAGAGAAAAAGAAAGAAAAGAGGGAAAGTATCATAACCATCTGTCAAATAATAATGAAAGGACGAAGGGCACAGGGTATTTAAGAATGTCAGAAACATTTAGCAAACTATAGTTTGGTCTTTGGTAGACACTTCAACATACCGACTAATGGCGCTTAAAACATTTTAATCCAATTTATGAAATGTTAGTTACCCTAACAAGCTATAACTGTCAAACAAAGAAAATACAATATTTAATTTTGAGTCTGTCAGTGCATTGACCTGAATCAGTTGTGTTGAAGCAGGAGAACATCTGAAAACCTAAAAACGAATCTGAATATTTCATTTCATTTCAGACCCAGTGATTTATCTCAAAA